TGTTTGTGCTTCATTATAAACTATACTTTAAATAGACTTTTCAATGGATACATACATGCAATGTTTAAGGTAATCATGAAAAACACTTGTCATCATCTTTTTTTTTGGATATCATTTGTTCATCATTCTACATTGTAATATTCTTCTTCTTCTTCTTCTTTGACTCTTCTAGTTACTTTCATAAACGAAAACAGGAGTGAATAAGAATGACTATTATTATTACTATTATGCTCATGTTTATGTACCTATGGTCAATTCATTGAAAAGTCAAATCAAACCTATCAACTAGGCATTTTTAATCCCATACTATTATTATTATTATTATTATTATTATTATTGAGATGGTGGAGAAAATTTGTAGCTCAGGTGAGTGATTTTGACGTAGGTTTGTTCGTGGAGTTTTCATCGTCCTTCTGAACGATATCATTAGTACAAACTTCGGGTAGAAGAATGCTCAAAGCTCCACGACCAAACTGTCTAGGCCAGAGAACAAAAATTTATCAAAATCATCCACCTGAGCTACAAATCTTCTCCACCATCACAGTATATAGAATTTTCTCATTAAACTAAGAAAAATGTTTCTTTCATATGTATGTGTATGTGTGAGGTTCTAGTTGACTTTTAGTTTAGCCAATTTCTCGAAATAGGTTATTGAAGAGATTGATTTGAAAACGGTACAGTTGTGACAATGGATGCCTGAAGTATTTAACTTACCATAAATAATAATCCATATATGATTTACTTATCTTCTGATCTTGATCATGTGGTCTTAATTTTTGGCCTTTGAGTTTGTAATTTAGTTACTAAACTCTGGGTACTACATTTATGAGAGTTTGTACCGAGTTTTCTGAATAGGATGCCAATTAAAGACTGTTCAATTACAATCCTAAACATCAATGGGAAAATTCAAGTAAATAATACCAAATGAATTTAAACTTCACTCCATTGCACAAGCTAATAGCTATGAGGACTCAATAGCTAAGTGGCTAACTTGATGACAGTACTGAGTCAAAGTCCTGGAATGAACATCAACTCTGCGATTCAGGTAAATCCAGCTGAAGAGTCCTAAATAGGACGAAACGAGCATGCTACATTTCATTGCTAATCACTATCAATATTTTCTTAGAATACTTGTGACTTAACGCGATATCTAGACAATCCGTACAGGATCCACATATACTAATAACAGACTGATTAATTGTATTCCTAAACATCAATAAACAGTTTAGTGATATATTATAAAGTATAAATTATTATCATTGAAAGACCAATATTCACAGTATTCTTAGTTTTATGAAAAGAAATTTACACTTAAAATAGAAAAGGAAATATGAAAAGATCTAATTGATTTACTTTTGCCTGAATCTATTTAGGTCTTTACTTATCTCTCCCTTTATTACATCATGACTACATTTGGGGATTATTTAATGCTTATACCTTTCAAAGATTATAGTGTTAGTTATTAAAGAACCATATATAAAGTTAATTAACCACTGATTAGTTCTGATCGAATTTCATCGATTAAGCTACAATATAAACGTTAGTCTGAGATATTCATGATATAACTTGATAGAATGCTTCTCATAGGGAACATCAGTTAATTAAAAAGTGAAGTCTGCTTGTTAACGAATGATAACTATTATGAAAACTGAAGTGTGAAGTTCCTTGATGAATACCTAAAACTCTCAAACACCTCAATATAAAAACTGTATATACTAACAAACTTTATGTATTCATTACAAGAGACATAAAATCAAAGATTATAGATTTCACGTGTAATCGTTGTTTTCTTTTCTAACTTATTGTCTCCACTGCTCTACAGAGGACTTACCACAGCCAGTTGATAATGATCATAACCTAATAGTCATGTATACCATACCAGTTAATACAATAAGTTCGTAGTTCAATTGAGAGTAAAATATTAACATAGATGAATTCAGCAACAAGATTATATGAACCAACTGAACTTCTCTTTCAATGACACGTTAATACATCTACACAAAATGTTTACAATACTTAAAAATACGTTGATTTGATTTCCTTATTTTCAAACATTACCAATGGAGAAATTTCAAGCTATTATGGTAGTATAAATTCACTTGGTATTGTTTGGTTGGAGTGGCTATCAGGACTCATTAGCTAACTGAATAACGCGATGGCATTTGAAGGAAACAATACTGGGTTCGAGTCACAGAGTGACACATCAACTCTGAAATTTAGATACATCCAGCTGACGAGTCCCAAATAGGACGAAAAGCGCGTCAAATTGGATTCCACTGCTAAAAGCTATCCATCTTTGCTTACAATGTTTTTTTCTGGTAGGAACTTTTTATTTATTACAAGTTTTCTCTATAATTTTCTTCTATCTACAAAATGAAAGAATGTTATACTTTCTAGAAAATTCCCTCTCATAAAAGAAGTTAAATATTGATCAACTATTATCATCTAATATAAACTATAAATCTTACCATATAGTAGATGTCATTTACATTATATCCGAGTTTCCTGTAGTCAGTAAAATTTATATTTAGTTTGGTTAGTTATTGTTATCATAATGTTTGTTACTAGTAGTTGCATACTTTAGTTGATAGCTGATTGTCATAGAAGTTTTTGTTTCTGTTATAGTTGAAGAAGTGAATGAGTGTTTTCTTCTGAGGCACTAATAGATTTGTAAACAAGATATTAATCCATGATCCCGATCATGGGATTCCAACCTAGGATCTTCAGTCTCATACACGAACGCTTAACCCCCTAGATCACTGAGGTGATATCCAACGATGTTAATGTCTAACTTCAACCAATACACGAAATTGAGCATCCGTTCAACATTATCTTTAGTGAGTAACTGCCTCACAACAGATACAGTTGAACTCCACTGATTACGGCTTGGATACGCACTGATAAGGAATCCCATACTAGGACGAAACGGCCGTCCAGTGCTTCAAGGTTTTCCATGGTGGTCTATCTTTAATCGACTTATGAATTCAACTATTACATCAATATTATTTTTCATTGAGAATTTTTATCGTTAATCTCTTGACAATGAAATTTCAACAATATCTATCATATCATTTCAATCAACTACTGAAATGTTGTAGTTTATAGGTTTTTATACAAGTAAAATTGTTCACATTCTATTTGAGTATGACATTTAACCAGGAAATTTACTAAATAGTAATATATACATAATTTCTTAGCAGTGCGCATTCACGATCCCGTCTCGCGCGCGAGCACTTAACCACTAGACCACTGAACTTGACGTTATCCGACTGTGTTAATGTCTATCTTCAACCAATCCACAAAATTCAGTAACCATTTACCATTGTCTTCAGTGATTTGATATCTCACAACTGACAGATCCTGGATTCGAATCTCACGAGGCAGGATCATGGATGCTCTGTGCTGAGTAGTCCCATAATAGGACAAAACGACCGTACAGTGCTTCTAGGCTTTCCATGTTGGTCTAGCTTCAATTGACTCATGATTTCAACTATATAAAATTATTAAAATCTCCTTAAAAACCCCCCTTTCTAATAATATATGATTTATTAATCAATTTTCTTATTATTTGGCGTATAATGATAGACATAAGGTTATCAACCAAATATACATATATATACATTCCTATAGTTTAATTAATATAATGAATTAGTTATTATATTACTTATAATTAAAATGAAAGTAATATTTGATTGTTTATTATTATATTGTCTTATATTCATATAACAATGGTAACTAATAGTGATAACTAAACTTCAGTAGATCAGTCAGTTATTTAGAATTTAATATTAAAAAAGATTGTGTCGTCAGCTCAGTTTATCACATTCGCCTTTGTTTCAAATATGAGAATAGAAAATTTTGTTACGATGTTTATTAGTTCATCTAGACTAGGTAAGTTATGGTGAGTGATGGAATCCATGACACTTGTTTTATATGATTAAGTATAAATCATCCGTTAAAGTCTTAGAGTATGATGTTCATCCAATTTAGGATAGAATTATTCCGTTGTTGATAATCATAATTGAATTCGGATCAGTTTTTGTTGTTATATGTATGTCCTATGAGGACTCCTTCAACATAGCCATCTTATCATAAACTATTAAGCAATGACAGGTCGTGGCTATCTGTGTTCAAAAGCTAGGTGGACAAAAAGTTAGGTGTTTAAACTGAAAGGTATTGCATTCGAGTCCCAATATGAACATCATTACTAAGTTGTAGATACATCTACTGTCAACCAACAAGAAGATCAGAATTTTCAATACATATGTCAAGAGAGCTCTACTGTATGGGGCGGAAACCTGGAGAACTACAAAAGCAATCATCCAGAAGATACAAGTGTTTATTAACAGATGTCTACGCAGAATACTTCGGATCCGCTAGCCACACACTATCAACAACATTCTACTGTGGGAGAGAACAAACCAGATTCCAGTGGAGGAAAAAATCAGGAAGAAGCACTGAAAGTGGATAGGACACACATTGAAGAAAGTAGTCAACTGCGTAACAAGGCAAGTCCTTACATGGAATCCTGAAGGTTAAAGGAAAAGAGGAAAACCAAAGAACACATTACACCGAGAAATAGAGACAGACATGAGAAGAATGAACAAAAGATGGATAGATTTAGAAAGGAAGGCTTAGGACAGAGTGGATTAGAGAATTCTGGTCGGCAGCCTATGCTGCATTGGGAGTAACAGGTATAACTAAGTATTTAAGTAACATATTTAAATGTATTTGGGAACTCTTTATCTGAATAATTCTATATTTTAGTTCTAGGGCTTAAATTCCGATTCAAGCTCAATATTCTTAACTCCTACTTCTATTAATTTTAAATCAATGACAACCATATCAAAAAATAAAATTCAATAATCAATGTAATGGTGTTTTATTACTGTTTGTTCAATAACACACACAAAAAAAGTGTTACCGTTTTTTTTAATGTAACGTAGTTTCATCACAATATAACGTTTGTATAATATTGACTCTTTTCGCTGAGTATATTAATAATAATAATAATAATAATAGTAGTGGTAGTAACAGGGATCATGAATATGATCGATAAAGAAATGAAAAGAAAAATCATAATATTTTAAAAGAGGAAAAAAAACCCCCAGAAACTCAGTTCCCATTACTACCAAATACAAAGATAGTAACAGAGAAAGAGAGGGGGAAGGGGGGAAGAGAAAGAAAAAAAATTTTTGTGTAAAATAATCTATACAAACACTGAAAAAAATTATACATTTAAGTAAATCAAATATGTTTTGTATATATATAGAGATGATAGGGTTAAATATTATATACATGATAGGACAGAAGTAAATTTGGAATCCTTTAGGTTGTAATGTATAATGTATATATATATATATATTACTTATTATCATTATTGTTTTTGTTTTTCTAAGAAATAAAAGTCACCTATTTATTAAGACTGTATAAAGGAAAATGGTAATATACTACTATTATATCGAATTCAGTAGTATTCATTTGTAATAGGTTAGTATGATTAGTAGTTTACTTTCTACATAGACAACATCAAAATAAATTAGGTTTAGTTGAGGAAAAAAACACAAGAATTCTTTAACTTATACAAAATAAATGAAAAAAATTATAATGATTTTTTTTATGGAAATGAATAGATATACTACTAGACTATGTTCATCATCATCATCATCAGCATCATCATCACGATAACGATCATGATCACGATTAGTTGTGTTGATCCGAAATAGAAATATCAGAATTTCAACCCATTCAACTTGAATTCTTTCTTTGAAACAATTGATGATATCATTGGTGTGTGTGTATGTGTGTGTGAGTGTGAATGTGTTTCAGATTTATTGTTTTTAAAAATTTCGCCTAATTTTTTTTTAGTTGTTGTTGATTTCTAAATTTCAATAAATTTTATTTGGGATTCCGTTGGATTTTCGGAGGAAACAATGATTACACTTATAAATATCATCATTTGAATGGTTAGTTAGTTATGGTAGAGACACACCTCAATTAAATTGACTTTTGTGTGTGTGTGTGTTTGCATAGATAAAGGACTGAAATACAAACTAATGGTCATTAAGTAATCTATTCTGTATATCCCTCCCTTTCGCTCGCTCTATCTCCCTCTCTTCAATCTTCTCACTCTTCATAATAATAAGCAAAATATTAATTATACGTTGTTGTCGTTGCTGTTTTTTTTTTTAAATCCGCCCTGCTTCTATCAATTATTCCTTCCTTTTCTTCTTTTTTTTTCTATCAAATATTTTCGTTTCTACTTTCACATGATAAAAAAAGTCAATTGAATATAAAGTTAGTTTTGTTGCCATTTTTGTAAAAAAAGAAAAAAATATAATTTAGTTATGTAACAGGAACATGGTCGCGATGGCCGAATGGTTAAGGCGTTAGACTCGAATAGGAACATACTACTTATTAAAGATTATATTCATATAGTTCATATTCATGGTGATCATATTGATGATGATAGTGAAAAAGAAGGAGGATATTGATAATCTTATTAAATAAGTTAAAATGTACAACTTTTCATTTGTCATTCATAGTTGGTATACAATTGAATATGGGAACATGTACAGATTATGAAAAGATAACTCTATCATTGATTATATGTTTGTGCATGAATGGGTAAATTTCACAACCAATCAATCAAAGAAAATCTATCAAGGAAATACTCTTAGATCAGAATGATTTTGTTGTTGTTGATGTTTTATAGTATCCATCGTTTGATTCATATGATAATATAATCCATTTTCAATAGGTCCTCTTGAATTAGGCGATATGGAATCTAATGAATCAGTACACATTTTTAATTTATGACGATTTAATAAATCTATACCATGAACTGATCGTTCTGATGAAGTGGATGATGATGATATGATAGCTGAATGATTCATAGAATCAATTAAATTATTATGATTATTATTAATACTACGATTATTATTATTATTATCAATGGGATCAGATTCCATTTTATTCTTATGATTATAATAGGAATGTGTGATACTGCCACCACTACTACTACTACTACTGCTACTATTACTACTACAGTTACCACCGACTATGCCATTATTATTACATCCTAGTCGTGTAATTGGTTGACAGTTATTATACAATGAAGTAGAATTAAAATTTATCGATCCATTTCCATCTAATTGATTTGGTGTAGATCTTAATTGTGCATGCCATTGTATTAATGCATCTGTCGGTGAATGATTCTGATTCTGATTCTGATGATGATGATGATGATGGATGATATTTGATGGCTTCATGTGTAATGATTCACATTTTGCATTATTACTAGTATTCTGTTCATTATTCGATGAATGATTGTAAACTAAGTCAGAAATATAATTAGATTTCTGATATCTTGAATACTTCTCATTCATTTGATTATTCATTAAATTAGTTGTGTGCTGTGTATAAGGATCATTTGTGAAATTCATTGAATTCATTGTTTGAGATTGATGTTTTTGAATATATTGTTGTTGTAAATGATCAATATGATGAGGGTGTATTGGTGTTGGATGAGGTGAATTAAGGGAGAAATGATTTGAATGTCTATTATCATTATTGTTATTATTAGTTAGACCTCCAAATTTTGCATGAAATGCTTTTGTCACATCACTGAATTGTCCAGTTTCATCAGAACTGTCTACTTCAATTCTTGACATATCTTTATGTTTTATTTCATTCAAAGTATTATTATTATTAGTAGGAGTATTGTTACTATTAATATTATTATTATCTGAGAAATAATTAGTTAAATATGGATTACACATTGAATTAGGTGAATTCGGTGTAATTGCCTGTGAACCACGTGTAGTACATGCAAAATGATTAGCAGCAACAGCTGCGGCTGCTGCTGCAGCACCAAATCGATGTAAAGGAGTTTTCATTAAATAATCCACTGGTAAATCAGATAATTCTGAATAGAAACCAAATTTATGCTTTTTTGTTTTTTGTGATACCTTACGATTACGTGTTTGAATTCCATCTTTTTTCATTGAAATAGGTCGTTGAATCTTGAATAAACATCAAAGAAACAGAAGAAGAAGAAGAAGAAAATGCAATTATAAATATGTATTATTAGAATGAAGGTTACAATGGAATTCATTCAATGTATGAAATCTTATTTCTGTCTTGATCTCGAATTCTAGTTATCTATCTACCTATATAGTCCTAACCATTACGGCTAAAACGATCTACTTTCATAGGTATATATCCATTTATTTCTTAATATTGATGTAACTGTCAAATAGTTCATAGATTTTCAAAAGATAATATTACTCTTTATCTGTCTAAAGCTCTTCTAGAGTTACTGCTGGTTTCAAGCATGGGTAAAGGTAGGAAGTTTAAGCATGGGATTGACAAACCCATCCCGTAGAAAAAAATCTTTCCGAAAAATAAAATGCCAACTAGATTAAACACTTTACACTTAATTGTTAATTATTGTTAGAAATCTAATATCATAAGTCTTCAACATAACTGTAGAGATTGTTACATTATTTACCCATGATTTATTAAATGAATTAGATCTACCAGAAGTAATCTAATCATGTCATCTAAATTATCCTTATAGTTATTTGTCATTTCTATCAAGTTTATTCTGTAGAATTTTCATAATTATTCAAATCATTATTCACATTGAAATCAAGTAAATGAATTATATTTATATAGTTGAGATCATTAGTCAATTGAAGTTAGACTATCGTGGAAAACCTGGAAGCACTGGACAGCCGTTTTGTCCTATTATGGGATTCCTCAGCAGTACGCATCCACGACCCGTAAACGGCCGATCAGTGCTTCCAGGTTTTCCATTGTGGTCTAGCTTCAATTGACTTATGATTTCAAATCTATAAAATTATTAAAATCTCTTCTGAGAATTATATTTAGTTAAGAAGACAATAGATTGAATAAGTGATCAATGAACTTACAAACTAAATAAGGTAAATCTTAATTACCAAATTAGATATAGACTGACTTTAGTTAAAAAAAACCCATTAAAAATCATTAAACATTGGTTAGCTAATTTCTTCTTGTTATAGGATTAAGTTCTCAGTAGTTCACATTTAAAACTTTGTCAGGATTGTAATACTGAGAACTCTAATCCTAGATTAAAACGTTTATCCAAAACCATCTTAGTTTTCAGTAATTTTTCCAAATGAAGATATTTTATGATTAAAAAAACTGTAGTATGTGCTATTGATGTCGATAGATATAAGTATTATGTATCATTAATAGAATGTGAAATATCTAGAAGTAGAAAGTGAAGAAGATCAAAGAAATGAGAACGAGTACAAAGAATGATTAGTGTAGAAACGACAGAACAATGAAATATGAGTACTATATGAAAAAAAGGAATGTTTATTTATCAATGAGTTATTATAGACATCAGTTAGTTGAGTCTTTCTCCTTCTTCTTTTTCTTTTTGTTGTTGTTATAAAACACCGGTTTTATAAACAAATCATAAAGAAATATCTGAACATGATAAATTCTTTTCATTTCTTTGGTAAAAACCGGAAACCAATGTCTTTCTATACATATAAGTAGGATATATGTTCAATGTTTTTTTTAGAAGTTGTCAGGATAGTGGATTATTTAATTTTTTCCCTTTCAGTCCCCCCCCCCACTTTTTTTTCTCTTTTGAATAAAAATGGATGTAAAATAATCATTAAAAAAAAACAACAACAACCTTTTTTTCAATAGAATTGAAATATCAGAATGAATCTATTGACTCATTCTTATTACTCTGAGTAAATCTATCTACTTATATACCGTTTACATAAATATAGACAGGGGGAACTTTGTAATTACATCTTATATGAATAATATATATCTTGTTATTTTTTTGTGTGTTTAGTCTATTCATATCTAAGTTAACGGAATAAGGATTTTTGGCGCCATATCTTGTCATTAACCCTCCAACTATCTTTAAAAAAAAAACATGACAACCATAGAAAAGAGAATCAGTATTCATAGTATTAATGATAGTAACAATACCAATAATATTACCATCAAAAATAAACATACAACTTGAATAAAAAAGATGAGAAAATGTGATTAATATTCACTTTAATATCAATCTGTTGACACATTAATAAAATTAATAATATACCCCATTTAATTTTGCCTCTGATTAATTTTATTCATTCAGTGAGAGAGGGGGGGATGGGGGTGGAGGGACAAATAAATGAGGGGGAAATATGTTTACTTTTTTTGTTTTTTTTAAAATGAAAAACCAAAAAAAAAAAAACTACTCTCGAACTATTAAATAGTGGAACATATGCCAAAGTGTTTATTATTGTGTTTTTCATCGAAAACAGAAAGTTTTTTATTTTCGTTTTTACAGAGAAAACAAATTCCCCTTTTAAATATTGTGATAAGTGAAATAGAGATGAGAAAAAAGGAGAGAAAAAATAAAAAGTGACAAATGAATCAACGTTGATGATTCCTTTTTGTTCATTTAATGATAAATAACTGATTTATAAATATCCCTTGAAGTGAGACATTAACACCATCGGATGCTGGTTCAGTGGTCTAGTGATTAAGCGTTCGAGCGCGAGACTGGTAAGTTCTGGGTTGGAATCTCGCGCACTGCTGAGGAGTCACATACTAGAAAAAAAGGTCGTTCAGTTGTCCCAGGTTTTCAATCGTGGTCCAGTTTAGATTGACTCATGAATTCGACCATTAAAATTACTACAATCTCCACAAAATCCCCATTCTGATTTAGATTCAATACAATTTAGACGAGATCCGAAATTTCTGAAGTTGATCACTGATCAATTTATGGTTTTGCAGTAATGAACAGTTTTGAACCATATGTCAAAGACCTATTTAGTACTTTCTTGTCTTTTAGTTATCATCAAAACTTCTTCCACTTCTCAAAGAAAGATATTCTTTCAAAAATGGATCAGTCTTATTACAATTTCAGTTACACTATGGTGGACCATGTAAACTTTGTTTGAAAAATTCTTTTTCAGGTGTTTATTTCTTTTGAACTTAACGAAAGCAGTTAAGCATGATCATTCTAGATAGATAAAATACTAAATTTGTGTATTCTATTCCGAAAACAGGTCTCATTTTAAATCAGTTATGTAATCGATATTGCCTTAGGTTACAATCATCCTAAGCAAATATAGATGGTAACTATCAGTGGATTCCAGGATACGCATCTCATCCTATTTTAGGACTTGTCAGCTGGATATACCTACATTCCAGAGTTTATGTTCACCTTGGGACTCTGATCCAGTACTGTTCCTTTCAAATGCCATCATATTATCCACATAACTACTGAGTCCTGATAGCCATGAGTCGGAAATAGGACGAAACGCACGTCCTGAATTTCACTACTAGCCACTGTCTTCTTTTGCTTATACTATACATTCATACATATTGTTACTTATTTGAAATCATAGATATATAGATTACTTCTTAGAAACTCAAGTAGAAAATTTGAAGATATTCACTCTGGATGTTCATATTCTACTTTCTTTTACCTTTCTTTTTGCGAGAACACCTAATGCCTATCATATTATTTATTAAAATTAATAACTACACACTTTCATGTACCCCTTTCTCTGCCTCTCTCTTTCTCTCTCTGTTTTTCTCACTTTCTTAAATTAATGATGATTATTAATTTATTTAGCATTAAAAAAATAATAATAACTAAGCCATATTGTTTTCATAAAAGACTGATGAGGGTGAAGACGAGACTATATATGCATACATACATACATACATACATACATACATACATACATACATACATACATACATACATACATGCATACATACATACATCTGGTATTGGCGCCAAATAAACTCAAATCATTGATAAGTACTTGACACACCCCGATCATAATGCAAACATGTATAGATTACTATATTAATATTATTGTTTTATTCTATCGAACTCATTATTCATATCACTATAAAAGAATAGCAAACAGTATTGTTACTATTATCATTCGACAAGCTATTCATTAGTTCCTTTATTCACCCAATTTCTTTTTTTCTTTTCTATTAAATATTCCAATAAGTTTGAGAACAATAGAGATTTATGATAGTTAGTATTAAAGTAGTAGTAGTAGTAGTATTATTATTAGTAGTAAATTAGCCAATTAAGTCAGGCAAAATTTAGTCCATCAATCTTGTGAGTATTCTATCTCCCTCTCTCTCTCTCTCTCTCTTACTCTAAATATTTATGCATATCTCATATTCTATAAATAGAATTATTCCATTAAGTTGCCCCGCCCAACACAACTAAGAATCAATCTCATATGGGAATAGTAATATTACTACTACTACTACTACTACTACCAATAGTAATGCATTAAATATATACAACAAATATACACTTAGTTAACTCCTCAATTGAAATTATCACACCATTAACTTTTGTCATAGATGTATCCAATTATACATAAAAGTATACCCCTCCCCCCCCACCAAAAAAGCATTCCTTATCACCCTTTAAAATTGGGGCATTCATTTTATACATCCATATATCCCATCATCCCATCACTTACTCACTAATTGTGCATATCTTTATCTATCTATCCATCTAATCATCTATTTACTTATCATCTGTATAAGTTCGATTAAAACTACTGTTTTTCATTAATGAAACCTACTTAATGTGTGAAGTTAAAAAGCATTGGATACAATGAATTGTGTCTCCAATTTGGTCAGCGTATGCAAGGATTGTTTTATAAATTGGAAATAACGTTAATCATAATAATCATATTAACCAAAGGGGCTGAAAGCTAAATTTAAGAAAAGAACTATATTTATAGTAACCAATCTTATCATGGTACTTTACAGAGAGACATTATTGTCAATTTAAAATGTATATTATCCTGCGCAACCGAAATAAAGTTATTGTTTAAATTCATTTAGTATTGTTTGTTTGAATCTTCCCATTGATGTTTAGGACTGTAACTGGTCAGTCTCTTATTGGCATACTGTGCATACTGTGCGTATTGTCTCGATATAGCCTTATTTCACAAGCATTGTAAGCAAAGATAGCCACTATCCATCTTTGCTAACAAAGTTGTTGTTGTTTTTTCGATACATTCACATCTTTTGCAACGTTGTTCAATGATAAATGTCGATAAATCTTTCTTTTTTCAAATCAGACATTAGAAATAGATTATCCACATATTAAACAGAAACAATAAATGATCAATTGATTTATTGAGTTAAGGGAGGCATTAATCAATTGTATTCCTTTTTTAGTGAGTGTTAGTCAAACTATGGTGTGTACTATTGATGTCGATAGATATAAGTAGTATGTATCGTGAATAGAAAGTGAATTATCTAGATGCAGAAGGTGAAGAAGATCAAAGAAATGAGGACGAGAACAAAGAATGATTAGTGTGGAAACGATAGAACAATGAAGTATGAGACGATTGGCTGATATTTGTTGAATGAAATATTCACTGTATAGTTCTCATATTTTACTAAGATGTTTTGTAATTTTGTGTTTTCAAATATATTCGATTGCCGCCCCACTGGTGTTCTTGTTCACTACGAAACTAAGAGTAAGCATAGCATCATCGCTTATATTGCCCCCATGTGCCCTGGTACGACCGAGAGTGGGGGGAGTTCGCTCTCCCTCTTGAAATGTTCTCATATGGTCACGCGTATATATATATATATATATATATACCAGGGAAGTCCTACTCGCTAGTCATAAATTTTGGCTAGCAGAGGAATCCAGGACATACATTTCATTTTATTTGGGACTTGTCAGATGGATGAACTCACATCCTAGTGTAAATGTTTACACTCGGAATCGAACCAAGTGCATCTCGCTTCGAACTTCAACTCATTAACTACTGAGTCTCGGTGACCACTAACTTACTCAACAAGTATGTTGTTTTAATCATTATTAGTGTGAGTTTGAATTATACAGCTATTGATATTCAGGATTAAATATAAATCGACTTATCGCATAAAATTTGTGCTAGAACGTCTTTACCATAGGAATCCCTAAAGAACCCACATACATCAACGAAGATTGACGAAGATTGCTTTTACCTTGATTTGTTGACCTTAATAAAGTCATATAAATTACAAATAAACACAGACAATACAAATAGTATACTTACATTATGCAATTTGAAATAAAGTCCACATGCATTACAAACTGGTTCACCATTCGTATTTCGACGCCATAATGTAGTTGTTATTGTACGACAATTGGAACATATAGTACCAGTACGTCGGCTAGAGGATTGCTGTAAAATAAAAAGTAATGAAGGTCAAGTAATTAAACTGCATTGTAACACTTTGTGTTAGTCAGTTAAACCAGAACAATGAAGTTCTGTCAAACAGATTTTATCTATCGGGATTGTAATTACATCTATCAATTTCAACTCAACTACGCTTACAATAGAAAACAAATCAATATGTAGGTCTTGTAGACGACTGAATATAATACAATTTAAATATTAAATTTTATCATAACTATTTTCAATGTGAGTTTGTGAAGATTGTTGAATATTTGATGGAGATCATGAATCGGTGAATGTTAGGCCACCATTAAAAACCTGGAAGCGCTAAATGACGGTGACCAGTAGAGTTAATACATGTCAAGTAAAGACAGGTATGTACCTCAGACAATGGAAGATGGTTGAGCAATATTTTGGATTGGATGAAGTTAGACATTAACACCGTTGGATACCGGCTCACTGGTCCAGGGGTTAGACATTCGCGCACGAGATCAACGGTCCTGAATTCGGTTAGTTTGTGTGAGATCGTGTATGAGCACTACTAAGGAGTCTCACACTAGGATGAGATGGCCGTTCAGTTCTTCCAGGTTTTCAATGGTGGCCTAACACTGATCTATTCATGATATTAATATAATCTTAGATAAAACAATATCCTCAAATAGACTAATTTCATAACCTTATTTTATTAAGTCAACAGGTTTTCAATGACAAATTTTACCCTCTTTTTATAATTTCCCATTCAATATAAAATAACTCAATCATGGTAACAATTTGTCACAAAAAATAGACCTGTCAATAAATTCATATTAGTTACTAGGGTAATGATATCTGCCTCTTAATCAATATACTAAATTGTACAATCCTATGAACACCGTAAAATATTTAGGATTGATGCAAATATACATATATCCCATTTGACATTAATCCCATAGATCGAACTATTATTAGTATTATCATTACTATTTTAAGTAATAATAATAATACTATTAGTAGGTCTACGATATATGGTCTTCATTTCCCATGTTGATCATAACAACTGAACCAACAAGGTAACAAATGGTCATATTCCTTTTCAAAAACAAGGAATTGATATTGTGGTATCTTCTTTATTGAAAATAGACGTAATATTGATAAGGATGACATTGTGTATATGGATATATATTTGGACTGATGTCAAATATTTCATTGATGCGTAAAGATGATGATGTAACTTGTTGTCCATTTTTGATCATCTTTTAAGTAAATATCATTTATTGACTTTTAGTAACTAATATGATATAAAGTGAAATTAAGCAGAAAATTTTCATAGTTGAGATCATTAGTCAATTGAAGCTAAACCATCATGGAAAACCTGGAATCATTGGATGACTGTTTCGTCCTATTGTGGAAAATATCATGAACCTTTATTTAAATGAAGTGGGTTGTTTGTTTCTTCTTGATAGAAAAGGGTTTGATATCAAAGTATTTGGCATAAGATGAGTGAATACTGTTGAGAATTGATTTTTGCTTACTACAGTTCATATATTCTGGAGTAATGGAACGTAACAATCTAGTAAATTTTAAACCACTTTTTTTATTATGAAGGCTGAGAAAAGTATCTAGCTACATAATATTGAAGATGATAAAATAAGGATTAGGACTTGTGAAAGTGCTAAACCTACTACTGAAATGTGGGTTACATATATCCACATATGTAGTATATAGTGATGGTCAGGCATAGAGTGTATTTCATCGGAAGATCGATAAGGAAACAACGGGAACGGAATGCAGTTGGTATGAAAATGCATAAGCAATAATAATCGGAGACGATGGACTGAAATTTTCAGAAGGAACAGTGAAGATTGAAACAACTAATTGATAATCTTCAGCTTAACTGTTTACTGTATGATTGTCAGATTTTAATGAGATATACATTCGATTGTCCTCACTCGTCTTCTTGTTCACTATATTACTACTACTATTACTAATAGTAGTAATAGTAACAATAATAATAATGCCACACAGTGAGGTATTGAAACATACTATGTATTTCATATATACAATTAACTGATATCCTGTTAGAGTTTACAGTTCGTAGGCAACCTATGATCAAATAATCCTATTAAGAATGTAGGGTATTTATAGTAAGTCCAGTTTTCATTACTAATTGAAACTAGGAAAAGAACACTGATTAACTACTGCACCATAGTTTTATACTCTTCATCAAAATCTGTACACAAGTCAATCAGTTATTTGGAACCTTCAAAAATCTCTTAATCATTCTACCAATAACTTAAAATCAGAATTCATTAAGTTTCATTTTATAATTTTAATCATTTAAAAATAAATTCATCAACATCATCACTTATTGTCTTCGATAATCTGTGCCAAACTTCTAACATAATTAAACTCCATCCGGCACTGCTCCTTAAATGCTCACGCGCGAGACTGATAAGTCCTGGGTTCGAATCTCACAAGGCGGAATCGTGGATGCGCACTACGGAAGAGTCCCATAATAGGATGAAACGGCTGTCCAGTGCTTCCAGGTTTTTCATGGTTGTCTATCTTTAATTGACTCATGATCTCAACTATATATAAAAAATCACTAAAATCTCCACAACCCCCCCCCCTTTTGACCTATTATCCAAGTTTAGAAAGAATATTAATCAATATGTTGTTATGTGAATATTAAATGGGTTACTTTTTCTAAAAGAAAACATTCAACTCTCATTTCCAACCATGATTTAATCAATCATACTTTACAGATTGTTTCTTCTTCTTCTTCTTTAAGGCTTATCATAATAATTCAACAAAAATGCATTCCATCAAATGTTACTACTCTTTCTATTCCATATGGGATAATATTCTTCAAATGAAGTAACGGTAGTAACCATTATTATTATTATTATTATTATTATTATTATTATTATTATTAAATTAATCTGTTATAATTATGATAGTGCTTTATATAGTTTTCTTTCTTATTATTATATCCTATAGACTAATAGATGAACAATGTTACTGTTTCCTATTCAGTTTAATACAAAATAGATGACCACTAAAGTAATAAAAAGAGAAGAAGTAGAAGAAGAAGAAGAAGGAGGAGGAGGAGGAGGAGAAGAAGAAGAAGAAAAAGAAGAAGAAGAAGAAGAAGAAGAAAAAGAAGAAGAAGAAGAAGAAGCAGAAGAAAAAGAAGAAGAAGAAGAATAAAAAGAAGAAGAAGAAGAAGAAGAAGGAGAAGGAGAAGGAGAAGAAGAAGAAGCAGAAGAAAAAGAAGAAGAAGAAGAAAAAGAAGAAGAAGAAGAATAAAAAGAATAAGAAGAAGAAGAAAAAGAAGAAGAAGAAAAAGAAGAAGAAGAAGAAGAAGAAGAAGAAAGAGAAAGAAAATGTTAATCAACAATTAGAATAAACATTATATGCATCAATGAATTATGTCATTATCTAAATTGATTTATTTAATTTTAATAGTAGAACATATGGAACATGTTGTAATATGAATAATAATGGGGAAAAAACAAAGGGGTTCTATGAAGAATGTTAAATTGTATAGTTTGAATTAAAGATTGATTACTGTTGAACAATCAATGAAAAGCGAAAGGAACTGAATAAGTAGAGGTTTTTTCTCTCATTACTCTGTAGCTATGCATATCCATGAACTCAGTATGGAATAAGCCAAGAATCTTCAATTACTGTATTGAGCTGTTGAGCAGATATTCAGAGATCTGTAGTTTGAAGGTCCAGTTTTCGACCTTCATTACAGTCACATGCTAATGAGGAGTTTTATTCTAAGTCTAGTTGATTATTCATTGTTTTTTTGTCTTTCAATAGTTATCTAATTAAGATTAGCCAATGGTATGAATTATAAGCTGTAATTAAGTGTATATATACATCGAAATGATTGCGTAATATTATTGTGTATATAAATAAATTCTATCATCAAGATTAATCGCAACAAATGTCCGGCGCTCTAATCGGGTTGTTGAATACAGGAAGTCCACCTAAGGGAGTTGGAAAACCCGGATTACAAACCAATGGTGTACATGGGCTGGCTCCAGTATCCTTAGGGAACTCAACAAATCGCGTATGAATCAATCGTTGGTCACCGGCTGCCATAGGACTACATCTCCACAATGCTACACTGCTTTGTGGATCAGACCTTTAGATCAAAAGCTTCAGGTGTGGCTCCCTAAGGAAACCACCTGTTTCGGTTTAGGCACATAGGCAGTATCGCAGCCCCCACACAAATCAAATGAGATTTGTGTGGTGCATATATATCTGATACCCCCTTGTACCTTGTTTTTTTGTAACATTTCCCCATTAATTTCAATTTTATGTTTTACCAATTATTATTTAAACAAATGAATGTATAACTGATTGAAGTGATACGTCACCTAATCAGTAATGGTTTCTTAAGAATATTGTAATATATAATAATGTATTGTTAATTTTCTATTATTCATATTGGTTATGATGCCATATATTGATCTATCTTTATATAAGAATATGAATTTCAGTGAAGTTGTGTTATATTGTTAGAAGTAACTGAAAATACTATAGTGCTTCCAGGCTTTCCATGGTGGTTTAGCCTCAAATGACTGATAATTTCAACTCTAAAATTACTAAAATCCCCACAAAACATCTTCTGATGACAATGAGACAAACCAGACACTTTTAAGATGGATTAGATGGGATATGTCTAGCAGTGGAATCCAATGTATGTGTTTCATCTCATTTTTGAGGGTTAGTCAGCTTAATGTAGCTGCATCGCAGAGTTTTATCTTAACTTTCAAATGTATTATGAGTGAATTTTTACCGGTAAACAATAAACATTGTCAATTTCAATAGTATGGTGCCTATAGTTATACAGCCACCTATACCCCATTACAGAAATGAATTCAAATGTTAGCTATATTTTACCAAAGCCTATTTATTGTTAATAATTGCAATGTTATGCATTGTAAATATACTTTTCCGATTGCTTTTTAAACATTTTTAGAGCTTCAGAGGCTGAATTGGATAATGCTTGTAATGAGAATTAAAGATATGTGTTTCATACTGTTATAGTTCATCAAATAGATGCATCCATTAGCTACCAGCCAACTCTGTTTGTTAAAACTATTTGTGATTGAATGGCAATACTTGAGCTATTTTCATAGGTAATTCAACCAACCCTTTTAAAAAAATTATCTTTCAGACAATTTTCAATCATCGAGTTTATGAGTCAGTTAAAGCTAGAACATCATGAAAAACCCAGAAGCACTGAACGGCCGTTTCGTCCTAGCGACTTTTCAGCAATGCATACCCACTATCTCGCTCGCTTACTGCTGAGGATTCCCATACTAGAACGAAACGACCATTCAATACTTTCAAGTTTTCCATGGTGGTCTAACTTTAATTGACTCATCAACTCAATTATTTAATTACTACAATCTCCACGAAACCCCTTTCTGATAATTTTCAATAAGACTGAATATTATTTAATAATAACGATATTGATCAACATATAAAGATACCTCGGGGGATTCGAACCCAGGACCTACCAGTCTCGCGCCAGATCACTTAAACGACAGACCACTGATATTATTTATTTTTAAAAAAGAGAGACTGAAAGGTTTAGAAAAATCACAAAAAAACATAACTTACCAATCTTCGTTTAGGTTTAATTAATGGACGATTTTGACCATTCATTTTTTGATATAAACCACATGCATTACATAAATAATTTCCTTGACCATCTCGTCTCCATAGTGGTGTACTAGTTGCTCCACAATTGACACATTCTCTTCCTTCTGTTAATGAAACAAACAAACGAAATTATGATCATTCTCTTTTTGTCAATATGATTGCATTGATTAACGGTTGTTTCGTCCTAGTACAGGGCGTCTCATCAGTGAGGATCCACAATCCCACATATATGGAACTCGAACCCAGGACAGTTACCCACTAGAGACAATACATATATCATTTACGAAAGAGAGAACATGGTGAAAAATTTGTAAATCATTCATTCTGGTCCATCAAACAAAATACTGGATGAAATCATTGGGTATATTGATGGAAGAGTTAATAACAGTTGCTATGTAAAGTTTTTGGGAAACAAAGATATTGGGGATGAATGTTGATCACTTCATTTGTGTATAGAAAATGTTTACATTAACCATGAAGGAAATATCAAGAAATATAGTAACTTGAAAAACCAGATTATCGTTAAGTCTAATATTCAGCACCAATCAAATGATCAATTATGAAACACTTAGCTAATTTTTTTCCTAACCATGAACCACATCTTTGGAAATTCGGCAATGGATCGTTTAATTATGTATACCATGTAACTAATTTTGAAGAACTATTTCAATTGTACCAATCTTAATTTGAAGGTGACAATACTACAGTTCTGTTTTCAGTCAACCTAGTATAATTGAATTACTCCTATCAGTGGAATCCAATTAAGGAAAATACAAAACTTTAGAGATGACTTCATTTTCGTTGAATATATCCATAGATATAAGAGCTTAATTGATAACATCTTAATGCTCATCGTAATCTATATTGATCTTCAGTCCCATTGTGAACATTCAATTGTGAAAAATTTGCATCCAGTTGATAAGTATCAAACAGTACAAACTATCTATCCTTAAATCTAATAGAATCTACTTATTTATGCACTAATAAAAAATGATCTAATTACCAAGTCTCGTATGTAGAATCGTCGATGCACACTACTGAGGAGTTTCAAACTAGGACGAAATGCCTATTCAATACTTCCAGCTTTTCAATAGTGATCTAGCCTAAATCAACCTATACAACTCATGTTACATAATGAGAAGGAAAGAAAGAAAGAAAGAATAGGGAAGTGACAAATGTTCCTTCTTTAAAAAAACATTACTAACCTGTCATTGTTAATTTCTTATTTTTCATTGTTTTATTTATATTTGGTGTATTATTCAATGAATTGGTATTATTTATAAGAGGGAATAATCCTAAATTTTGATTCATCATATTATATTGTGATTGATGTAAACCATTGTCATTACTGTTATTATGATGATTAGTATGTACACTATATTGTTCCATATGTGTATTTAACATGGAATGTTCATTATCAATATAATGTGATTGTTGATGTTGATTTTGATTTGAATGTAAATGTTGATGTTGATGTTGATGTATTGATTGTTCATGACGATGATTATGATGTTGATGTTCTAATTGATGATTTGTTACATTTACACTTGCTACAGCTGCTTGTGCAACAACAGCAGCTGCTGCCATAGCTGCTGCTGAATGATATGCTACACTTAAATCATCAATCATTTGATCATCTTCAAATCCTCTTTGCCTTTGATGTTGTTGTTGTTGTTGTTGTTGAGGAGGAGGAGGAGGGAGATTTGAATTATGATGCATTACCTTACATGTATCTAAATCATTCTGTATTAATGAATTATTATTTATTCTTCTTGATTGAGATTGTTGTTGTTGTTGCATAGGACTATTGAACTTTGAACTAACATTCATTTCATTTAACTCATTATTACTATTAGTGTTTACATCAAATTTCATTTCATCCGAAGATATCTTATTAAAATTGTCTATTTCACTATGATTTAATATAGAACTTGAATTCAAGTCTAAATTAGTTTGTAATATAGAAGGTAATGGTGATGAAGATGTACGACATTCTGAGTTTTGTCTACTATTGTTATTATAGGTGGGATAATTTGTGGACTCTATATTCATATTTTGATGATGATTATTATTAAATATTAAGCTTTTTCTAAAAGCTATCTCATTTGAACAAGTTGAATAAAATGATGCTAAATGTTGAGGTAAAATATTAGTTGGATACTGTGATGATATTGATGTATTCCATGTATCTGTAGTAATAGTCGACGTAGTAGTAGTGGTAGTAGTCGTTGTAGTAGCGGTAGTAGTAGTAGTATTAGTAGTAGTAATAATAGAAGTAGAATTCGTAATAATACCATGATCATTATGATTATTGTTACTGATCATTGTTTTATATGCTACTTGTTCTTCTTCATCTTCTTCATCAACATCATCATCACCATCACCTTCTTCATTCATTGAATTCATTATATTCTCTGAATAATTATGTTTTAATGAATAATTTATAGATAAACTATTATAATTATTATTATTATATTCATTTGATAATAATTGATTTGTATAATCATTCACTTTTGTAGGTAACATATTAAATGGATAACTTAATTGTTGCTGTTGTTCTTCTTGTTGCTGCTGTTGCTCCTGTCGTGGTGGTGGTGGTTGTTTTGTATTAGATAATTTTGCCTTAGATACAAAATTGGTTTTCATAAATTGTGATTGATTTTTTTCATTTTCTAATGATGTTGTTACTTTATTATATATCATATCTTCCATAGATTCATTTATATATAATGAAGGGGGGGGTGTTTTTTCTGTTGCTGCTGTTGCTATGCTGTTATTATTATTATTATTAATTATTGATTTATTTTCTATAAAATTGATAGAATTTAGTTTAGATTTTTTATGACGTTTTCTATGATCATTTGACCAATTCTCATAATTTATCATATTGGTAATATCTGATTTCATTGTATTACATAATGATGAAGAAGAAGGGGATTTATTTAAGGAGAGTAAACTTTCTGATTTTATAATTGGATCAAATGTAGATGATTTATTAGTGGTATCCATATGAGATTTCTCATTTGGTAAATGTAAATCTGTATTATTATTACTACACTCAGCAGTACTACTACTACTAGTAGTAGTATTAGTAGTATTGGTAGTAGTAGTAACAATGTTCTCGTTACATTGATTTGATAAGTCTTCATTTAAGTAACCTGTTTGAATAAGATTTTCTTGTGATCGATAAGTTTGATTAAGACCACAGGTATAATTAGGTCGTGAGAGAAAATTTGAAGAGCTAGTAAGTATTGCTGATGAAGTATTATTATTATTTACTGAGTTTTGATTACACAATGAGGAATTATTATTAATATACGATAAATTATCACAATTCAATGTTGATCCAATGTTTTGTAATGCTTCAGTATTAGACCATAATAAATCAGTTGATGATCGTCCACAATTCACTGGATTCAATGGAAATGCTGTCATTGGAAACATTCTACAATGTTAATACAAGAAAAAGTCATTACGATTTTATACATTAATGATTTAAAAATAAAACGAATTGTTTATTTGAATTTCAAAAGGGGTTTTGTAGAGATTTCAGTATTTTTCGTAGTTGAAATCATGAGTCAATTGAAGCTAGACTACTATGGAAAATCTGGAAGCACTAGACGACCGTTTCGTCCTATTGTTGGACTTCTCAGCAGTGTGCATCTACGATCCCGTCTCACGGGATTCGAACCCATAAGAAGGACAAAAAGGCTGTCCAGTGCTTCCAGGTTTTTCATGGTTGTCTAGCTTTAATTGACTCATAATATTTTAATCATTTAGTTAATTTAAAAAGTGGATAAAGTTAATTCTTCCCTTTTAGCATTAATGATGACATAATTTTTGTTCACTCTTTAATGGCTACTATTTCATCGACAATGATTATGATAATTACACTTATATATATACATATAGTTAACACCTTAAATTACGTCATAATCACTGTGCATATGAATATATATTCACTCTATACAAGTAAATTATAGTCTTTAAAACTGTTACCAATATATTAAAATGATTTAACTTGTTCATAGCATAATAATTCACTATACCCCTTTACCAACCAGAAAAAACTTTTGATTACTCCCTATCTAGATTAATCAGGACATTTATTCATTACATAACTAGTGATTATAAAGTATCCAAAGAAAATAATAATTACTACTTAAAAGAAGTTCTTCATTTTGAATAAGAGAGAGGAGGGAGAGGGAATACAAAAAAAAAAACAGAAGACATGAAAAATGATTTTCCTGATATTTTTTTTTTACCGAGTTGATCAATAGAATGTTCTGGTTTTCATATTTATACAAAAAAATTTGAAACTGATTATAGCCTGTTATAAAATTTTAAGAAATCCAACTCTAGTTTCATACGGAACCTAGCAAAAAATATCTTTTACATGTGATCAAAAGCATGGAAAGTCTAATATGTTCAACATACTTACAGGTCTCATGAGATATACGTGTGTATATACATATACCAATCAACAGAATCATTCAAATAACAAAATGAATGATATACAGACTGAATCTCGCGAGGCGGAATCTTGGATGCGCACTGTTGAGGAGTCCGACAATAGGACGAAACGGTCGTCCAGTGTTTCCAGATTTTCCACAGTAGTCTAGCTTCCATTGACTCATGATTTCAACTATATATACAGAACTATAAACTTGTCATCATTCAGTGGTTTTTTGTGGGGTCTTTAAAAATCAAACTTCTTATTCTTCGTTATATATCTTCAGTGTATTCTAGTTAATGTTTCTTCCAAATAAAACGGGATATATGACATTTAATACTTTTCATGATAGTCCAATTGATTGTCTAAGTTTTTAATTCATAAGATTAATTATAAAATTTAACAAACTCTACGAACCTCTAAGTATACTGAATTATTATTTATCATTATTATTATTTAAACACATAAATATTGGTACAAGGAAACACCAGATACATATGCACCGCACAAATCTCATTCGATTTATGTGATTGTTGTGATACTGCCCGGGGACCCAAACTGAAGCAGATGGTTTTCTTAGGGGGCCATACCTTAAGCCTTTGACCCAAAGGTCTAACCCACAAGGCAGTGGAGCATCGTTAGGAGAAGCAGTCTTATGGTAGCTGGTGACGAACAGTAGGTTCATATGCCATTTGTTCCCTCAGGATACTGGAGCCAGCCCATGTTCACCATTGGTTTGGAATCAGAGTTTTCCAACTCCCCTAAGTGGACTTTCTGTGTCCACTACATCTATTACAAACATCTTAAAAAAAGTAGATTTATTTAGTATTGTTTGTTTGAATCTTCCCATCATTGTGTTAGGACTGCAACTGATCAGTCTCTTATTGGCATATGTGCACAGAGTAAACATCAACTGTGAGATGCATTGAGATACATTCATCTGACAAGTCCCAAATAGGAAGAAACGCGCGTCAAACTGGATTCCACTGCTAGCCACTATCCATCTCTGTTTACCATCTTAAAAATAGTCCATGAATAATAATTGTCAACTGATTAACACCCTTACTAGTGTTTTTAATTAACCCTGAGAAAAATTACTCCTGCCATAAATTATCCATTAGTTATAAGAAGAGAAAATATTTCATCTACGATTATTCACCATGTTGAAATTTTGTTTTTAACTAAACCAAATAAAAAGTTGTAATTAGTTGTAGAAAGCAGATACATATATATATATACCTACATTATATACATAAAACAAGTGACAGAACGAAAGTGAGGGGGGATAGACAGAGAGTGAGGCGGGGGGGAGAGTGATACCCAGAGTAGGGGGAATATCAACAATGAAAAATAAATTTTTCAATGTTCCATATTTCTTCCCTTTTTTTAAAATAAAAAAAAACTGCCTGTCATTCTGTTATCATTAAATCAAATCAAGATCGAAAATTGAACGGAAGGAACTGAATATATGTGATTATGTATGTATCTTTACATAACATAACATATATGACACAAATTTTCGTGTCAACTCAAATATGATCAGTCATGTAATGGTAACTCTATGTGTAACTGTTCAATTAAAGGTGTATTTCTGTGTACATATGTATCAATGTATGTATGTGTGTTAATAAATGGCAAGTAAATGGATGTGGTCATATTAATTTATTCATTTATATAGTTGAAAGCGTAAGTCAATTGAAGCTAGACATCTAGGGAAAACCTGGAAGCACTGTATGGCCGCCTCGTCTTATTTTGGTACTCCTCAGCAGTGTGCATCCACTATCCCGCCTCGCGAGGTTCGAACTCAGGACCTACCAGTCTCGCGACAGAGCACTTAACGGACAGACCCCTGAGCCTGCCGACATCTGATGGTGTTTATGTCTAACTCCAACCAATTCACGAAGTTGATCAACCGTTCACCAGTTGTCTTCAGTGAGTTCCTACCTCACAACAGACGTGGTTTGAACTCCACTGGTAACTGCTTATCATTAAGACTCCTGAATATACCTCTCGAAGTCAGTCACTCGTGAGCATGTGCTTATTATTATCGGAAGTTTTTTTCTGGAGATTTAATACTTTCATAGTTGAAAGCGTGAGTCAATTGAAGTCAATTATTCATTTGTGCTACAATTAATTTATATCACAATGAACAATCCTACAGACATTATTTTCTCTCATTTCAATGACAAACACATATTTTGTTAAAAAAATATTTCTACTTTGTTTGTTGAACACGATCAAATATTTGTATGATGGAGAAGATTTGTAGCTCAGGTAGATGATTTTGATGGAGTTTTGTTCTCTGAGCTGGATGGTTTAGTCGTGGAGCTTTCATCGAGGTGTACAGTACAAGCGGTGAACTACATGTGGAGAAATTCAAACACTTCACTTCCACCTAAAGTTTGTGCTGATGATGTCGTTTAGAAGGACGATGTAAGCTCCATGACTAAACCATCCAGCTCAGAGAACAAAACTTCATCAAATATTTGTGTATATCTATCCGAAGGCGGCCTGCTTAGATATCAGAGTTACCTGTTCCTATCATCTAGATATTTCAACAAGTTATGTATTTCGTTGTTTGTTTTAACACATCATTATGTTTATTAATAACGTGACCTATTCAGAAGTGCTTATGAAAAGTTTGCGATCTATAACTGTACAAGTTACAAAAATATACAACCGGAGACATCGTGATGGCTGGCAACATTAATCGAAAAGAATGAATATTATTCAGATGCCGACTTCTGAAATGCTAATATCTAACTGACGATCACTCAATATTTATTGTCAAGATCGAACAAGAAGTAAGGAACGGAAACTTGTTGAAATACTTTGTGCTGAAAACTCTATATTGTGCCAAAAATATGATATTGAATGGAGCTAATAATAATAATCAAAGCGCATCCAGCTGACGAGTCCCAAATAGAACGAAACGCGCATCAAGCTGGATTCCACTGCTAGCCACTATCCATCTTTGCTAATAATCAACTTACTTGTACTTGTAGCTATTTCTAACAATTAAACTAAAAGAAAGTAAACTAATCTTTGTACAAACTATTGACAAAACTATGTTTCAGAAGTGGTTTTTTGGAGATTTCAGTATTTTTCATAGTTGAAATCACTAGTCAATTGAAGCTAGACCACCATGAAAAACCTTGAGGCACTGGACGGCTGTTTCGTCCTATTATGACCAGTGGATTTAAAACAAGTCTGTTGATGAGACAATGGTGGATGTGCCGCTCAATTTTATGGATCAGTTGAAGTTAGACATGAACACCATTGGATGAAAGCTCAGTGGTCTAAAGGTTAAGCGCTCATGCACAAAATTGATAGGTCCTGAATTTGAATCTCGCGAGTGCGGGATCGTGGATGCGCACTGCTGAGAAGTTCCACAACAGGACGAAGTGGCCGTCCAGTGTTTTCAGATTCTTCATGGTGATCTAGCTTTGATTGATTCATGATTTCAACTATGTATATTGTACTTATTAATATTTCATTTCATTTCTCCACCCGTTTCATAATTCAGTTAATTAAATCCTATTGGTTAGTTCATTAAGAACAGAATGTATTTCTTTTTTGAAAAAATGCGGGTTTTGTTTTGTTTTATTGTTTAGAACCATGACATCTGGTTTCTCTTCTATTCTAGTCTATTCTTAATTCTTTCTATTTCTCTTTACCGATTATTGTTATTTCAATGAAAACATAATTATGTTCTTTATATAGGTATATACATAAAGATGATATAGAAAAGGGAATATTAGAAGTAGGAGGGAGTAAATAACAGATAATCTGTAATAGTGAAATAGATCTTTATCATTATAATTCATTACATTCTTGTATAATTTTGTTATTTTGAATGGTTCATGTTTTGTTTCCTCTCCTGTTCTTCTTGTTCTTCTTTCATTCTATTAGTCTCAACAGATCGACATTATATTCAACGACAGAAGTGAATGTTTGTGTATATGTATGTATGTATGTATGTATGTATGTAT